ACACACACACACACACACACACAACACACACACACACACACACACCCCAAAAGTCTCACAAAACAATACTTATCCTAATTGCATAAAATACCCTGCAATCTTTTCAGTGACTCTATTTTATTCCATTCCATTGTATTTCATTTTAAAAGTACCTTTTATGCCCAAATAAAATGATTATACTATCCCCTAAAGGGCTGCAGCATACACTTTGAAAAGCACAACCTGGTCTGTAGTTCTTCCTTCGCTTCCCTACCATTAACCTGCCAGTAAGAATTGAAAGGTATCGCACCTGTGGATGTATATCTTCTCCATCATACTCTCATATGCTCTCACAGGAATTACAGCCGTACAGAGTCTCTCCTCGGTTAAAGTGGTTTTAGCATTTATTTCAAGGTTGGAGTTTCCCTATAAGCTTCATTGATCAAAAGCTGAAATGCTATTTGTGGCCACTGTGTGCCAGCTGGAATCACAGGCCTCCCTTTCAATAATCTGTTCCTGCTCACCCCAAAGAGCCGTAAGAAAGAAGCCAGGCAGAAACTCTGAAGTTTGCTTTTAGAGAATAGACATCTAATCTCAGCACAGGGTCGCCTATGTTTGAGGCTTTACATATTTGTATACACAGTGCACTTCACTTACTCATGACTTTGTTTGGCTGTCATGTGGGATTCATCACCTACAGAGCAACCGGAAAATTAGAAAGAAGAAAAACAGAAGCCCTCCCAGGTCTACAGTTCCTGAAGTTCTGAGAATTGGTTTGGCTGGCTTCTCTTGATATTCAGAGTGCTTTCTTTAACATTCCTTTCCCTTGCTCTAAACCACAGCATACATGATTGGCACTCCACAGCAATTATTTAAATGAACTCTCAGGCATAGGTCTAAATCCCACTGCAGCTGGCATATGTAACAAGGTAAAAGAGAATCCAAAAAAGCACAAGAATCATGTGTGCATAGGTATCACCTGCAACTACCATGTTACACGGGCCATGCTCAATGTGTATTTCTCTGCATACAGATCCCTCTAAATACATGTATAGACGGTAGATAGATACCTGGATATAGAGATGTGTGTGTGTGTGTGTGTGTGTCTGTGTGTATATATATATATATATGCATGTGTACTTTGTAGATATGTATATATTTATATACATGTAGCATTTGTTTGTTTGCATTAGTGCCAGTTCCTCCAGTCACTATATATCCATCCCTCCAAGGCTCTTCCCTATAATAGCTTAGATGTCAGGACTGTGATCACAGCATGGTGGAGGTTGGCACAGAGATACAGTAGATAGTTTCTAAAGGGACTTGTTGAAAGAAAAGAGATATAGATCCTATCAATCCTTCCCCATCCCTTATAAGGCATGTTCCTCCTCAATACCTTGTGCTACAGTGTTGTAACAATTACAATAGCCAGGCTCGGTGGCTCAGCTTGTAATCCCGCGCTTTGGAAGGCTGAGGTGAGTGGATTGCCTGAGCCCAAGGGTTCGAAACCCGCCTGGGCAACTTGGCGAGACCTCATCTCTACAATAAATCAAAAATCAGCCGGGCGTGGTAGCGCGCGCCTGTAGTTCCAGCTACTTGAAAGGCTGAGGCGGAAGGATCGCCAGAGCCCAGCAGGTCAAGACTGCAATGGTCGGGAGCTGCCACTGCACTCCAGTCTGGGTGACAGAGTGAGACTCCAACTCAAAAAAAAAATTACAATAGCAGGTCCAGGATTCTTTTTCTCCCCCAACTTTATTGAGATACAGTTGACAAAAAAAAAAAAAAAAAAAACTGTACGTATTTACAAAGTTTTGATATATGTAAACACTGTGAAATGATTGCTACAATCAAGCTAATTAATATATTCATCGGATCTCATAGCTTTTTGTTTGTATGTTTGAGTCAGAATCTCACTCTGTTGCTCAGGCTGGAGTGCAGTGGCATGTTCACGGCCACCCCAACCTCAACCTGCTGGGCTCAGGTGATCCTTCTGCCTCAGCCTTCCAAGTCACTGGAACTACAGGCATGTGCCACCATGCCCGGCTAATTTTTTTGATTTATTGTAGACATCAGGTCTCACCAAGTTGCCCCGGCTGATCTCGAACCCCTGGACTCTGGCAGTCCTCTTGCCTCAGTCTGCCAAAGTATTTTGTTATTTTTATTTGTTTGATGAAAACATTGAAGGTGGACTCTCTTAGCAATTTTTTAGTATGCAATACATTGTTAGAAACTAGAGTCACTATTTTGTACAGTCAATCTAGAACTTGCTCATCCTAGCAAACTAAAACTTTGTGTCTTCTAACATCTTCTTATTTGTCACTCTCCCCCACTAAACCCCAGCAACCACCATTCTACTCTACTTCTATGAATTCGACCATCTTAGATTTCACATGTAAGTGCGATCATACAGTATTTGTCTTTCTGTGTTTGACCAACTTCACTCGGGATCTTGTCCTCCAGGCTCATCAATGTTGTTGCAAGTGACAAAATGTCCTTCTTTTCTGAGGCTGAGCAACACCCCACTATATATGTGTGCATCTACCACACTTTCTTTATCAGTTCATCTGTTGATGGACACTTAAGTTGTTTCCATATCTTATTCACTACCGTGAATAATTCTGCAATAAACTTGGCGTTGTAGATATCCCCTCAACATACTGATTTCATTTTCTTTGGCTACATACCCATTAGTGGATTGCTGTTTTATATGGCAGTTCTATTTTCAATTTTTTGAGGAACCTCCACAATGTTTTCCATAATGGCTGTACTAATTTACAATCCCATCAACAGTGTACAAGGATTCCCTTTTCTCCCCATCTTCATCAACACTTTTTTTATTAATAGTCATTCTAACAAGTGTGAGTTGATCTCTCATTGTAGTTTCAATTTGCATTTCTCTGATAATTAGTGATATTGAGCATTTTTTCATATACCTCTTGACCATTTAAATGTCTTCTGAAAAGTTTCTATTCAGGTTATTTTCCAATTTTCTAATTGAATTATTTGTTTCCTTTCCATTGAGTTGTTTGAGTTTTTAAATAAATTTTGGATGTAAATTCCTTATTAGATGCGTGGTTTGCAAATATTTTCTCCCATTTCATAGGTTGTCTCTTCATTCTGTTTTCTCCTTTGCTGTGCAAAAGCTTTTTAATTTGATGTAATTCCATTTTGTCTGTTTTTGTTTCTGCTGCCTGTGCTTTTGGGGTTGTCCAGAAAAATCAGTGACCATACCAATGTTAACAAGCTTTTTCCCTATGTCTTCTTGTAGTAGTTTTACAGTGTTAGGTCTCACATTTAAGTTTTTAATACATTTTGAGTTGATTTGTGTGTATGGTGTGAGGTAAGGGTCCAGTTTCATTCTTTTGCATGCGGATATTCTGTTTTCTCAGCACTATTCATTGAAAAACCCTGTTCTATTCCTATTGTGTATTCTTACACCTTTGTAAAAAATCAGTTGATTATAAATACATGGATTTATTTATGGACTTTCTATTTGTCCCATTAGTCTATGTGTCTTTTGTTATGCCAGTACTATGCTATTTTGATTACTCAAGTTTTGTAGCCAATTTTGAAATTAGGTAGTTTTAATACTTCCAACTTTGTTATTATTGCTCAAGATTTCTTTATCTATTCAGAGTCTTTTGTGATTTCATGTAAATTCCAAATTTGTTTTTTCTATTTATGTGAGAAATGCCATTGGAATTTTCTTTTTCTTTCTTTTTTTTTTTTTTGAGTTGGAGTCTCACTCCGTCTGCCAGGTTGGAATGCAGTGGCACACTCACGGCCACCCCAGCCTCGACCTGCTGGGCTCCGGTGATCCTTCTGCCTCAGCCTTCCAAGTAGCTGGAACTACAGGCATGTGCTACCACCCTGGCCAGTTTTTTCATTTATTGTAGAGAGAAGGTCTCACCATGTTGAGATTGGTCTCACACCCGTGGCTCAGGCAATCCTCTTGCCAGGGCCTGCCACAGTGATAGGATTTCAGGCTTGAGCCACCGTGCCCGGCCTGCCATTGGAATTTTCATAGAGATTGCATTAAATCTATAGAAAGTTTTGGGTAGCCAGGCTTGGTGGCTCAGCCTGTAATCCCGTGCTTTGGGAGGCTGAGATGAGTGAATTGCCTGATCCCGCAGGTTCGAGACCCGCCTGGGCAGGCGAGACCTCATCTCTACAATAAATCAAAAAATCAGCCGGGTGTGGTAGCGCATGCCTGTAATTCCGGTTACTCGGAAGGCTGAGGCGGAAGGATCGCCGGAGCCCAGCAGGTCGAGGCTGCAGTGGCCGGGAGCGGCCACTGCACTCCAGTCTCGGCGACAGAGTGACTCCAACTCAAAAAAAGAGAAAGTTTTGGGTGGTATGGACATTTTAACAATATTAATTCTTCCCATCCATGAACACATGATATCTTTCTATGTATAGGTCTTTTACTTACTTGGTAAGATTTATTCCTAAAGTTTTTTTTTTTTTCATGCTACAGTTAGTGGGACTTTTCAAAATTTCTTTTTCAGATAGTTTGTTGTTATTGTATAGAAAATCCTTATTTTGGTGTGTTGATTTTGCATCCTGCAGCTTTACTGAATTTGTTTATCAATTCTCACAGTTTTGTGGTAGAGTTTTGAAATATAAAAACCTGTCACTGGCAAACAGAAATATTTTTATTTCTGCATTTCTGATTTGGATGCCTTTTATTTCTTTTTCTTGCCTAACTGTTCTGGCTAGAGCTTTTAGTACTATATTAAATGAAATGGCAAGAGTGGGTATCCTTCTCTTGTTCCTGATCTTAGAGAAAAATCCTTCAATTTTTCACTATTGACTATGATTGTAGCTGTAGATCTGTCATGTATGGCCTTTACTATATTGAAGTACATTCTTCCAATATTCAACTTTTAAGAGTTTTTTTTTATATGAAAGGATATTAAATTTTGCCAAATGCCTTTTCTGCATCTATTGAAATGATTATATAATTTGTGTCCTGCATTCTGTTAATGTGTGTTACATGTACAGATTTGTGTATGTTGAACCATCATTGCATCCCAGGGATAAATTTCACTTGATTATGGGGAATAAAATTTTTAATGTGCTATTAAATTCAGTGTTTTGTTGAGGATTTTTGCATCTATATTCATCAAGGGTATTGGTCTATAATTTTATTTTTTTCTGTATCCTCATCTGGCTTTGGTGTCAGCACAATGCTGACCTTGTAAAAAGAAATCTGGAAATGGCTGGGCATGGTGGCAATGCCTGTAATCCCAGCACTTTGAGAGGCTGTGGTAAGAGGATTGCTTGAAGCCAGGAGGGCAAGACCAGCCTGAGCAACATAGCAAGACTCCCATCTCTAAAAAAATAAAATAAATCTGGAAATATTCTCCAATTGTTTGGAAGAGTTTGGGAAGGATTGGCATTATTTCTTATTTAATGTTTGGTAGAATTAGCGAGT